AACATTAATTTTGGCTCGAATTTACGTCTATTATACTTGTTATTGCGTTCAAGTATTTTAGGGATTTATTGAACTTCTTTAATTATATGTATACATTTGAGTACACATATAAAAAATTTTTCTAAAACCACGAAACAAAGATAATTCAATGATATTTTTTACTTTGTAATGCGGAAAGGCCAAGGCTTCATTTGGGCCTTTAAAACAGCCTGAAATTAAAATTTTCTTAGCATTTCATAACACAAGTATACAGTACTCACGTGACCTATCTCAAAAAAGTAGAGTCGAAAAATAACTGCCAGTTCATTTACAAATTTGGTGAATTATTTGTTACCATAACTAAATAAAAATCGATCTAAGCAAGAATCCATCATCTGTTTGATCCTGTCTAGGATCTTGTATATTATGTTATGTTGTTTATTTTTCAAGTTTTCGCCCGAAGTGACTTTGGCAAGATAAAGAGTCACTTGTGTAAGTATTATTCCACACAGATATGTATTCTAGGAACTGCTTCCTTTGCCAAGGCTGGAAATACTGTATGCCTTAATAGATTAGATAAAGGTGCTCTTCAAATCCGAACCGATTTATTTCAGTCTATTTTTTATTGTATTTTATATCAGGTAAAATATTAATATGATCTCAAGTTAGAACCTATTGCCTAAGATCTTTATTTCAATAGTATGATATAGGCGCTCGTGGAAAGATTTATCTAATGGACAAGCACCTTGCCTACAAACTAATTACTAAGTAGAGCATTGTCAGAATCACTTATCATGAAGTCCACTCCAAGTCTAGGCGTTTTGGCTATCTCAGCTACATGCTTTGCTAATAGTCATGAATGAATGTATGGTGTGCAAATAGTTGAGAAGTGTTAACTCCATTTTCGCAATTGTAGATACGAAGAATTCTATTTGAACACTGTTGTTTATTAGAAAAACTTGAAATTATTGAGAGCTGGCCTTTGATTAAAAATAAGTACCGAAACGGTGTATGAGATGAAAGACAAAGATATAAGTGGTGGTTCTTTGATCCAGATTCTAAAAATGAATGTCTACCACATTATACTTCAAGCAACAATTGAATGCATGGCAACCCTTCTGATCTAGGTGCATGGAAAGTTATTCTGAACTCGCACAGCCCTTTATAAACATGAAAACTATGAAAACTTGTTATTATTCTAAGGCTTTGATGTGTAAGGACTGTACCTAATAGTATTTTTTGATGCAAATAAACCCTATACCAAAAGTATGTACTGATGATTGAGCTATTCCAGTTCATGCCGGATATTGAATATGAGCATAGCAGATCAGGCAACCCCATTAGTGAGTACAAAAATATGTATAACTAGGCCTTAACCTGAAAAAGGCGAAGAATTGCGAAGTGTTATGGTGGATGGATAGAAGATAAAATTGGCTAGAAGCAGCAGAAACGGCAGTGACCTCTACTTCGGTTTTGCTTGGCCTGGTAGATACAGTATTTTTGTTTACCGTTGTTCGGCGAGAAGACCATTCGGCTATTGGCCATCGCCGACTTACATACCGGCAACTGAGGCGAATCAACTTCATTGACCTGCCAGACTCCGCCAAACTCCTTTTCCATTGACATTAGTAATTGATGCTGCCAGCCGATTCCGGTGGCGTTGCACTGGTAGTAGGCCTTGTCTATAAGATCAGTTATAATGCTTTCGGAAGAGGGTAACAACTCGGATGCGTAGACAATGGGTGGCCGTCGAGCCACTGCTATAGGAGTGATAGGGACCACGCCTGCTGGTGTAGCCCCGGTAGCCAAATTCGGTAGCATATTCGGAAGTATGGATGCCTCCTGCTCATAATTGCTACTGATATCACTGTGAAGGGCGTTTTAAAGAAAATTGTGAAGTTCATCCTGTATACGGCTGTACATTACAAATCCGCCAATCTCACTTTGTTTATATAATACAATTTAGTTATTAGCTTGATAGCATTCATTTAGAATTTAAATTTCTCAGGCGTTTCTCTATTTAATTGCATTTTCGGCATCCCTCGTGTCATACAAATCAAGAAATGAGTGTAACAGAAAACCATCTTATCATCTTTTTTCCTTCTGCAGTAAACTGCATAATAGCACTATTAAGGATGAGAAGGCATGCTTTAATACATTGCTAATGGGAACTCGAGGGTATATTTGAGTCCTTTATTCATTATAATTATAATAACATTGTAACACTATATATCAATGATGTGTCCAGTCGACGATATTGTCCTTGATAATCCCGACATATTTGTCTCCTCCATTTGGTGTGAGATTATGTCTATACAGGGTTTGTAGGCATTACAGAGTAGGTGATCGGATCTATTCTCCTGGATCATGTGGATTCCCATATCTATTCAGCATCCCGTAATCAAGTTTTACAAGTTTCTCCTTAAATGAGATAATTCACAGTCTTTCTAACAATATGACACTTTTTGGATTAAAAACTTTAGCGAGATTGAATATTTAAATTAAGCTGATAATTTTAGTATTTTACTAACATGATGATAGCCATATAAGCCATTTTTAAGTGAATAATTTGATCCATCCATTCAAAAAAGTGCACTTTTATAAAGTGATTATACAGATGAATTTCTATAAGCATGTTTGCACCAAACAATGTTTTTCATCAATGGGAGCAAATATACTTACCCTATCTTCCATGAGATCCACACTTAAGAAATGGTAAGTATAGCTAAGCTCTATCAGAA